CTAGCAAGCTCATTACTTATTTTTCTGGAATTGACCTTTCAGATAGGTTAACCACCCAGTTATTGTTAGTTGGATGCTTCTATTTGACATCAAATCCTCCCCAAACCAATTTCATCCTATGTTAGCAATTCGTTTGTTTTCAGTGCTTAAGTGCTATCTGCTAAGTGGTCGATATTCTGGGACTTGTAAATCCTCCCTATATAATACCCTACTTTTTCAAGTTAAAAAATTAAATTATTATGTAGTCATATTGACTTCTGTTGCCCCCTTTGACCTATACGTTTATAAACCTTAGCACATGAATAGATTTTTGTAGCCACCCTTATAATCAGGACTAGCTCTGTCATTAAACCAAAATAAGTTTTGCAAATATTTCTTATAATGAGATGGACGGGAAGAAAGTGGAAGACTCCCAGAGCTAGTTATTGTTGTCAGGTGCCAGCGAGTTAGCTTTCCCTGCGGTAAGACAAAGCGCTTCCTGGTCCTGTGCCATCCCACAGTCAGGTGTAGATCCACCACTAGGATCCATAGCACTAGAGAAGAAGAATGTAATGGAACTTTAGTCACATTCATGAAATCATGGGAAACGTTTTAAAGAAATAAACTCAGAAGAAATATTGAAATTCAAATGTGGAGGCAGTGTGGGCATCTTTTTCATTTAAATGAGTTAGAACTAAGTGCAAACTCCTATGTACTCTGTGTTAATGTGGCCAGTGCTTAACTGCACCATCAAAACCATGTGTTGGAGCGCAGTGGTTCTCTATATCAGGCTAACGAAATTTAATCCAATAATAATAATAATAATAAATATTACTTAGCACAGTGGAATATTTGTCTTACTTTTTACCTGTTTCAATATCTGGCTGAAGAAGATGTCTAAGGAAGATTTTTTTTTTAAGTAGAGATTTAATGCAAACTATTCAAGTGCACAACAATGTTAATTCTTAAAAGATATCAAATATAAACCTGGGTTTGAGGCTTATTTTGTTAAGACCCACAGCTCCCTGTAGGACTTCATTTAATGCTACTACCTCTCTAGTCTCAGATGCTGTTACTTTATATCACAACTGCTCTTTACGCTTATTTTGTTTGTCCATCTGATAAAATCTAGATGGCTAATATTTACAAACTCAAGTCTTTTGTACATTGCACCTCATTTTAGTTTTGGCATCTGTGGGGGGGAAACCAGCCCCTCACACTATCAAGGGTTCTTTAAGTGCAGTTGTACCGTTAAAATATATATATAAAGATTATAGTAAAGTCATAGAGAATAATAGAGATAGGAGAGAGAGTAAAATGAGAGTCAGACACATTTCATGGTAGTATGCTCACCTCCTGGACCGGCCATGATCTCACCAGCCAGATCGGTGCACAGCGCGGGCTGAGAGGGCAGGAGAGTTTCTCTTTATTTCTGGCCAAGGCCCATATATACTTAGGGGTGTGATTACAGGTAACCACCTCTAAGGAAGATTTTAAAGGGCCTGTGTGGTTGTTCCTGGCCACTTACTAGTAAAATGTTGGAAGACAGAGATAGACTTAAAAGTGAACAGTGCAAAATGAAAATAAAACTTGAAGATTTACGGAGTTTGGCTGTACAGACAAATGGTGCGCCTCCCGGCACCATCACCAAGGAAGCGGCTATGCAATCTTTTGCTAAAGAGATTTCGTCTGTGACTGATGGACCTAACCAACTACTACAATAGGAAGCCCATCAGGCTGAAGGGGCAGGGAAGGAATGTGGTCTGTAGGAAACAGACCAAAGGAACTACGTCTGTTCTCCAAAAAAGAAAAAGCCCTTCCCCGGAGCAGCCCAGAGCTCCGCAGCACTGTGGGAAGGAGCGTGGGAAGCAGGGCCTTCCCAGTTTCAAAGGCTGGGGGCATGGGCTCTTAGGTTGCAAAGAGTTGCATCTTTGTCATCTTGGCTCTGGAGTGTGGGGCTGCCATCAAGGTGTGCCAGGAGAGTGTACCAGTTGGCCTGCTGACCCAGGTTGTGGTGGAATGGAGCTGCCGTGCCCATTGTGTTAGTCTGGATACTTTAGAGAAACAAATCCACAGAAACTCATGTATAAGAGAGAGTTTTATATAAAGGTTAAGTGTGCATCAAGAAAACATCCCAACCCAGTGCTGCCAAAGCCCACAAGTCCAACATTAACCCGTATGTCCAACACCAATCCACAAAGTCCTCATCCATCTCACCAAACACACACTGTGATGCCGACTGCAGAAGGAAAGCCGAGTCAGTGAATGTGTAAGCATCTCAGCGCTGGCAGGGGTCTCCACACCAGGGCTGTATGGGGTAGGTCCATGTGGCTTCTCCTTGGGGGCGTCCTGCAGGAAGTGAGCCCTGCCTGCTAAAGCAGGGAACTGGCTAAGGCAGCTTCACCCTGGCCCATCAGAAAGCCACCCGAGAACTAGAAAGGCAGGGCTCACTGAGCCATTTATCCCTCAGTCCTTCAATTAATCCCACATGTGTTTACCGGCCAGGTTGGCACAATAAACTAACTACCTCACCCATGCTGGGGCTGACTGGTGACATTGCCATTCAGAGGGACTAGAATAATTCAGCTGCCCAAATTAGAGGAAGTAGAGCTGCCATCCACAGGCGCTGGAAGGTGGAGCTAGAGAAATCTAGCTCTGTTCTCTGAGGTTATCTGGGCCAGGGCTCTGCCCTCCAAGTGCTAGGCATGGGCCACACCCTCTGGATTTAGGGTAGAAGCCCCTGAACCTTGGATTTCTCTAGCTCCACCTTCCAGGCCCTGTGGCCCAAGCCTAGCACCTGAAGGGCAGAGCCCCAGCCCAGATAACCTCAGCGAACAGAGGATTGATTGTTCTCAGGTCTGAGAGCCAGTCTACTTGTTCTGCTGGGTGTTAGGACGTGCTTGGTCCCGGCTATACTTTCTGCTATACCTTCATTCCCTCCAGTTTCTCCCATTTGTGATGGAAATGTCTGCCTTCTTTTACCACACTGGAAAAAAAGATCGCGTTTAGATTTCACAGGTTCAAAGATGGAGAGGACTTTTGCGTGAAGTCACACCCATATTTGATTTAGATGATTAAGAAGATGAGATTTTAGACTTGGAATTGGTATAAGATATTTTGAATGATGTGATGAGATTGTGAATGATGTGTTTTACATATAGGAAGGTCTTGAATTTTGGGAACATAGGTGGAATATTGTGGATTTAGTTGTGTTGTCTGCCCCCCCCCCAAATGTTTTATAAAACTTAATCTCTATGCCTGTGGTCATAAACTCAATTGGGAATGGGCTGTTGTTATGTTAATGAGCTGAGATTAATGCATGTTTTGAGGCGATCTCTTAGAAAATATAAAAAGAACAGATTAAGACAAATCAGCAGAGATGGGGTAAGAGAGATGCCAAGCCATATGAACTTGTCTGAAGGTCACCCAGGAGCAGGACAAGGTCAAGGACAATCCTCCAGAACTGACAGAGATAGAAAACCTTCCCCAAGAATTGGCACTGTGAATTCAGACTTCTAGCTTCAAAAGCAGTGAGAGGGGTTCTAATGGCACAGTGGATTAAGCATAGGGTTGCTAACTGAACAATTGTTGTTTCAAACCCATTAGCTACTTCTCAGAAGACAGATGAGGTAGGCTGCTTCTGTAGAGAGTTATAGCCTTAGAAATACTACCGTGCAGTTCTACTCTGCCCAACGGGGTCCCTGTGAGTTAGACTTCAAAGTGGGTTTTGAGTAAACTGAGAAATTTACCAGTAAACTTGGAAATTCTATTTGTTAAACGCAACCCACTGTGGTATTCTTGCTACAGCAGACTGGATATCTAAGACAACACCGTAAGTTTTTAGCTACATAAAGCACATCCGGTGCCCCATTAAAAGCCACTTCATGGGGGAGGGAGGGAGAAAAATGAGAAGCTGAAACCAAGGGCTCAAGTAGAAAGAAAATGTTTTGAAAATGATGATGGCAACAAATGTACAAATGTCCTGGACTCAATGGCTGTATATATGGATGGTGATAAGAGCTGTAAGAGCCCCCAATAAATGTTTTTAAAGAAAGAAATAAAAGCCATTTCATACAAAATAAATATGAGGAATGTACTTTTACATTGCTATGAGTTTTATATATAGCCTAAGGTAGGGCTAGAAGTTGTTAATACACAAGAAAACTATTTAGAAATGATATTTTTTCTGTCTTTCATTGAAAATAAAAGGCTATATGTATTGTTGGTGTCAGTACTTCTATTAATAGGACTGCCATAAGAAATTACTCTAGATTGGGTAGATGGATTAAAACAATAGAAATTTATACTTCCACAGTTCTGAAGGTGTGAAGATCGAAAATCAGGTGTTGACAGGGCGGTACTCTCTCTGAAGGTCCTAGGGAGACACTGTTCCTGTCTTCCTCACTCCTGGTGCTTCTGGCAATCCTTGACCTTTCTTGGTGTGCAGACCAATTGCTCCATATTTACCACATGGCAGTCTTGTAGCTCTCCCTCTCCCCTTTTCAAAATAAGGATACTAGCCATATGGGGTTAGGGGTCACCGTAGTGACTTCATCTTAACTTGACTATGAATATAATGTGACCAAAAAGGTCCCATTCACAGAAGGGCTTCAACATACCTTTCTGAGAGACATAGCTCATCCCATAAGAATACCTCTAACAAGAGACTGGTGATAGGCCATTGTTTTTTTCTTTTTCCTGCCTTTTGATTCTGCTGCCATCCTTGTGACTTCCATACCTCAACTAGGCAAAGAAGGTGCTTGTGGCCCACCAAGAGGATTGGGCAGCTAATGCAAATAAGGTGCAATGAGCCCATATAGGGGTTGCTGTTGTTGTTGTTGTTAGGGGCTGTCTAATCATTCTGACTCATAGTGACCCCATGTACATACCAAGAAACATTGCCTGCTCTTGTGCGGGCCTCACAATAGTTGCTCTGTTTGAGCCCGTTGTTGTAGCCGCTGTCAATCCATTTCCTTGAGAGTTTTCCTCTTTTTTGCTCACCCTCTACTTTACTAGCCATGATGTCTTTCTCCAAGAATGTGAGCCCCCTGCTGCAGAAAACATGTCCCACGTACGAGAGACGGCTCACCATCCTCACTTCTAAGGAAAATTCTGGGTGTTCTTCCGAGGCAGATTTATGTGCCCCTCTCGCAGCCTGTGGCCCAGTCAGTATTTATTCCCAACACTGTAAGTCAGAGATATCAGTTCTCCTTTGGCCCTCCTTGCTCATTCCTGTCTGAGGCAATTGGAAACATCATGACTTAGGTTAGGTTCCCCTTAGAACTCAGAGTGACATCTTTGCTTTGTAACACTTTAGATAGGGAACTTAGGCTTTAGAGGTTAAGTAACTCAGATAAGGTAGATGACAAGTAAGTGGTTGAGGTGAGATTGACATCAGTAAAGGTCTGACATCAGAGCCTGCATGCCTAACCACTGCCATAGCCTGCCTCTTCCTTGAAGGGTGCATTTGAAGGAGTTTGCTATATAGTTTGGTAGCTTGAACAGAAAGCTTACTTTCTAACTCTTTTTTCCTTTCAAATTCTTTCTTTATTTTAATTAATTAATTAATTTAAAAAATCATTTTATTGTGGGCTCTTACAGCTCTTTATTTTATTTTTTTAATCTTATTAGGGGCTCATACAACTCTTATCACATACATACATACATCAATTGTGTAAAGCACATTTGTACATTCATTGCCCTCATCATTCTCAAAACATTTGCTCTCCACTTAAGCCCCTCGCATCAGGTCCTCATTTTTTCCCTTCCTCCCCCCTCTCCCCTCCCTCATGAACCCTTGATAATTTATAAATTATTATTTTGTCATATCTTGCCCTGTTCGACGTCTCCCTTCACTCACTTTTCTGTTCTCCACCCCCCGGGGAAGAGGTCACATGTAGATCCTTGTAATCAGTTTCCCCTTTCCAACCCACTCTCTCTCCACCCTCCCAGTATCGCCACTCACACTACTGATCCTGAAGGGACCATCTGCCCTGGATTCCCTGTGTTTCCAGTTCCTACCTGTACCAGTGTACATCCTCTGGTCTAGCCAGATTTGCAAGGTAGAATTGGGATCATGGTAGTGGGGGGAGGAAGCATTTAGGAACTAGAGGAAAGTTGTATGTTTTATTGTTGCTACATCGCATCCTGACTGGCTCGTCTGCTCCCCACGGCCCTTCTGTAAGAGGATGTCCGTTTGCCTACAGATGAGCTTCCTGATCCCTTCAATACCTGGTGGTCACACAGGCTGGTGTGCTTCCTTTGTTGCTTCTCAGCTAGATGGCTGCTTGCTTATCTTCAAGCCTTAAGACCCCAGGCGCTATATCTTTTGATACCCAGGCACCATCAGCTTTCTTCAAGTGCATTCGTGCACTTACACCCGTGTGGTCTATAGCACTGAACCACCGCTGTAGGTAACATGGTAGTATGCAGGTGTAGTAAGACAGGCGCTGCTGGTCTTCCCTGAATGGTGAGTGACAGTGGATGGCATTTATCCCCTCTTTCTTACACCTACCTTTAGGCAAATCAGTGAGCATCTACTATGTACTTTGTGGAGGTACAGTGCTAGATTCTAGGACTACAAAGTCAAAGAGACATGATTTTTGCACTTAAGAACTTTAGTGAGTGGGCAAGAAATAAATATATTCAGGGGCAGTTATCCCATCAGGTGGGGGCAGCTTCCTGAAAGAGGTGATTTGAAGATACATATATTTCTTACCATAGAAATACATTCCTCAGGGGGAAGGCTGAATTGCTTCAAATTCTTCCTTGCAGATTTATTTGGTGTGTGTGTTTGTTTCTCTTTTTTTTGGTAGGTATATGTTACTTTAAAAAAAAATAATTTTATTGGGGGCTTATCACAATCCATCCATCCATCCATCCATTGTGTCAAGCACATTTGTACATTGGTTGCCATCCTCCTCCTCAAAACATCTGCTTTCTGCTTGAGCTTTTGGTATCAGCTCCTCATTTTCTCCCTCCCTCCCCCTCCCCCGTGTGTTTCTTCCTGACTGAGTGCCTCTGCTTGGCATCTCTCCCTTTGGCCTTTGCCGTCTCCAAATCTGTTATTCTTGGTATGCCTGTTTGCCTCAAAGGGGGAGAGACAGTCACTATCTTGTATACTTAGAAATTCTGCTTTTAAAGGCTCAGAATAAAGAGGTGTGAAAATTTTGTCTAGGATAGAAATATTCTTGTTGGTATCCCAAATTAGGACTCTAAGATTATTATGTACTCAGAGCATTTTTAGAAGGAAACAGATTTGTGTATGAAATGAAAATAGTTATTACAGTGACAAAATATAGAGATCCGATTTCTAGAAACAGAGTTAAATCAAAATCAAGCTAGTTGCAGTGGAGTCAATTCAAATTCATGGCAAAGGAGATCTGCCCCTTAGGGCTTCCAGGCTGTGAATCACTAGGCCTTTCTTCCTGGAGAACTCTGGGTGGGTTAGAACCATTGACCCCTCAGTTAGTAATTAAGCATTTAACCAATTGTGCTGCAGTAAGTCAGATATGACTTCCAGGAGTCAGCTATGCCTCCATGCTAGCTACATCCTTCTTTACCTAAGCTGACACCAACTGTTCTTCCCGTGCCATTCGATTTCTAGGATGCTTGCTGTGGCTGCATCGAGCTTTCAGACAATACTTAAAATTGTAACGGGATTCATTACCCCAAGTCAGGATCCGCAAACAATAAGGATACAGTCATTGGTCTACTGCAGTACCTCTCCCCTGCCAGCAGCCACATCTCTTGTTGGGCCTCAGCCACGTAATCCCTTGGCCTTTACCTTCATGGGTCAGGAAGCCAGCTCATTTGTCGCTCTGTCTCACAAGTTCTTTGGTCTTGGGCCAGTTGAGGAGAAGATACTCCGTAGTCTTAGTGTTGTTCTTCTGAGTCTCCGTGCATCTGGAGGCCTCTGGCACTTCAGACAGAGGTCTCAGAAATGCTCTTCCAAATGGTCCTGAGGTTGCTCTCTGCTGCAGTTCAAAGATGGCTCATCCTTATAGCCAGGGCAGTGGTAATGAAAACCCACCAGCTCCCTCTGTTAGCATTATACATGCCCTGTTCGCATAGTTCCACCCAATCATTTGGTGGTTGTTAAAGAGCCATATTAGGAAATAAATTTCACTTCATCTCTTAGGGATTAGGATCTGAATTAGCTAGTCTCAAACAAAATAAGCTAGGCAAATGAGTAAATAAAACTTGGCTCTTGAATATTGCTATTATTATCCAAAGCATTCTTACAACTCAGGTGACCATTTTCATTGTGTGCGATGCACTTTAAAAAATGCCTAGTAATTTTTCTTGAATCATGGTGTATTTTTTAATATATAAATCATTTTATTGGGGGCTCTTACAGATCTTATAGCAAGATCTGTATCTACATCAATTGTATCAAGTACATTTGTACATGTGTTGCCACCATCAGTTTCAAGACATCTTCTTTCTACTTGAGTCCGTCGTATCAGCTCCTCTTTTTTCCCTCCGCCCCTGCCACCCTTGTGAGCCCTTGATAAATGATAAATGATTACCATTTTTATATCTTACACAGTCCGCTGTCTCTCCATCACTTCTGTTGTTCTTCCTCTTGAGGGGGGCTGTTATACGTCGATCACTGTGATTGGTTCCCCCATCCTCACCCTTTCCCCCCCTTATCCCTACCCTCATGGTATCACTACTCTCATTATTGTTCCTGAGGGGTTTATCTGTCCTGGATTCCATGTGTTGAGAGCTCTTATCTGTACCAGTTTACACGCACGATATTTAATACATTCTTTTTGTGTTTGCTTATCCCCAAATAAGCAGCCCCGGTGCTGTAGTGGTTGCGCACTGGGCTGCTAAGTGCAAGGTCACCAATTGGAAATCACCAGCTGCTCCCTGGGAGAAAGACGAGACTTTCTTCAGGGGAGTAGCCCTCAAGAGTCACAGTCTTGGAACCCCACAGGGGGAGTTCTACTTTGTCCTGTAGCATTGCAAGGAGTTGGAAGTGACTCTGTGGTAGTGAGCCCCAGAGAAACCTCTAAGGAGTTTAGTTTTACAACTGACAATGGCTGAATATAATATGATTCCCTGTTGGATCCTAGTATAATTGCATTAAACTGTTTGATGTGGGAGATTCAAGGAGCCCATGTGTGTAGCTAAATGGAGAAGTCAGCAGTTTGAACCCACCAGCTGCTCTATAGTAGGAGCAAAGACTCCGTAATTTGCTTCTGTCAAGATTACAGCCTGGGCAAGCCTATGGGCCATTCTGTTCTATTGGGTCACTGTGAGTTAGATCAGCATTGACTAAGCAGCTATGTGTTTGGGTTCCTCAGATATAGTTGTTAATTTTCAGCATTTGAAGATCAGGATAAGCTCTGTAGTTGGTTTGCTATCTCAGTGTTGCTAATGATAAGTGCTTTCTAGCCACCATTCCAAACTATAACAATTGCTATGGCACAACATTTGAAGTTTGGTAGGTCTTTGTTTCGAATTATTGTTTTTGTTATGAATTCAGCCTCACTCTTTATACATTCACCCTGTGGGAAATGGAATGAAAAGTGAAGAAAGGACTATTGAATTCTCAGGATGCAGAGTGTCAGGAACCCTGAGGGCAGGGCTTGGGCTGGCCTTCCGGAAGGAGAGGTGGAGGTGGATTCCATGTAGCACATGCTCTTCTTTCTCAAAATCTTTAAAACTGCATTCTACTTTCTGCTCACTGGCTCCTGTGCGCCTCTGTTCGCATGATAGGATTTGGCCTGAGCTTGCTTGTGTGCAGGTCTAGCCACAAAGAGAGAGATCTTTCCCTCTTGGTCTCAACTCAGATTCCTGGAGAAGAGACACTGACCTGGTGTGGGTCAGATGCCCAAGACTACTCATGTCAACTGACCTCGAGGGCAGGGTCAGATCTTCTGTGTGTGTGTATGTGTGTGCGCGTGCGCGCGCGCGCACGCACGAGGTATCACTGTGAGTTCAGCATGTCCTCAAAAGGTGTCCACTGAATTATTTAGGTATATAATAAGAATAAAAGTATTTCTGAATTATCATCATACCTTATCTCAGAATAGGATAATGGAAGGGAGATTAAAAGTTAGTTGAATTGGAGTCCTAGTTCATAATAACCAAGTGAGGAAAAAAGAATCCTGTTGCATCTAAGGAAATTAAACTTTACTATTTTGTTTTCTTTATAACAGGTTAGTGGTTACTTGGACGATTGCACCTGTGATGTGGAAACCATTGATAGATTTAATAACTACAAGCTTTTCCCAAGACTACAACAACTTCTTGAAAGCGACTACTTTAGATATTATAAGGTATTTAACATTTTGGCATTAGAATGTTAAAAGTTTAAATGGATAATTACATTTTCAAAGACATTGGGCTTCTAAGTTGTGACTGCTATGTGGAATTGATAGGTGCTTTATTAGGAAAAAAATGATTGAACAAAATGGAACCATGTGATTATAAACAGTGACCATCTACTGGATACATGTTTAATTTCAATCTTGCCAGAGTTAGAAACTAGTCGATTAAATTGAACCGAGAAAAGAAACTGTTATAATGTTACCAAGGCAGTAAATTGCTTGTAATTTCCTAACCCATCAGATTGACTCTAGGTAAAGTAATTAAAAATTTGAGGGCCATGAATCGATTTTGACTTGTATCATTTTTAATAAGTAACTTGTGGCATTTTTTCCTAAAATTTTGAAACCTTATTATTAGAGTATTTACTTATATTCACAATTCATCGATATCTAACTGGTCTACCTGTTAAATGTTAGTGTGCTTGAGAAGAGTATGTTGGACACTAATGATAGGAGCTGTTTTGGTCAGGGTCTGTGTAGTAGTAGTCTATCTTTCTAGTGGAGCTCTAGTGGCGTTGTAGTTATCTGTCAGGGTGAATCCCCAAGGTCTGCAGTTCAAAACCATCAGCCACTCCATGGGAGAAAGAGGGCTTTTCTACTCCCTTAAAGACTTACAATTTCGAAAACTTACAGGGGCAATTCTTCCCTGCCCTAATGGCAGTTAGTATTAACTCAATAGCAGTGATCTGAGTTGTTGCTGTGTCTTTCTAAGCAATCAATTTACTTTTAACAGCTATATGATTATTGGGATTGACAATAGGTATGAATTAGAAAATTTGTATCCAATAACAAGTCCACATTTTAGACTCATAATTCAACCCCTGCCTATTGTAATCTTGAGATCCCTATGATTATTATTTTTCAGGTAAACTTGAAGAGGCCATGTCCTTTCTGGAATGATATCAACCAGTGTGGAAGAAGGGACTGTGCTGTCAAACCTTGCCAATCAGTAAGAACCTTGAGCACATTTAAGAACAGTTACATCTTTTTTTTTGGTCTGTTGCAACATTTTAAAAGGAGCAGACAAAACTAAGAATACTATTTTAATCACTATGTTACATATAATGTTCAATACCTATATACATAAACCTACAAAATACAAAACCTACTTTGAATTACATAATAATATAGTTTGAATTTTGTGGTTGGCTTATTATAATACTTTTGATTTAGTATGGTGAGATGAATAGGTCTTCAGGCTTGCTGTTTGTTATTCTTCTTGCTTCTTCCCTGAACAAAGTTATGCGTTTAGTGTGATAAAGTGAAATTATCCTGAGATACAGCAAATTTTGCCCCTGTTTTGTAAGTATATTTATATATGTATATTTATTGTTGTTAGAGTGGGTGTTAGTGGACAAAGCACCTGGTTTTACTTAGGAATCCTTGGAGTCTTAAAATTTTAGATAGTATATTGTGAAAGTAGAGTTATTAGACTTTTTGTCAAATAGTCATCTTATACACTTAAACTCTGACTGATCTCAATACTGAAGTAAGAAATATATAAGATGAGTCTAGATCATCTTGTCGTGAAAGAAAGCACAAAATGACTGAGGACGACTAGGGTCATATTAAAAGGACAATGTGTTAGAGCATAGTGGAGCATCAAAGGAATCATGGCTAAGTGAATACGATTCCACGTGGTAACAAAATAGAAGATTAGCAGTCCATGCAATTTGTTTTTGAATTTTTGCATCAAAGAGATAAATGTAAAAACTGCCAATCCATTTTCTATAAAAAATAGTTCTAATAACTTTAATGTTTTGTTTTACTAATTTTTAGTGTACTTAAAGTATTAAATTAAACATTAAAAAATTCAGATGATAAATGTCATCATTACAAATAATTTTATTTTCTTTTTCAGGATGACGTTCCTGATGGGATTAAATCTGCAAGCTACAAAGTATGTATTTACATTTATGAATGTATGTAATATCCTTTTTTTTTGTATGTAATATCTTAATGAAAAATTAAGAAAAATAAATCTTTCCCTGGCAGCTACTTCCCATTTCTCTCCTCCTCTTTACAGACAAGCCCCCCCTCCCCCTTTGATAGTTATTTATACTTAATGGCTTCAACCCTTCTTTGATGTATCCTTTTGTTATATATATATATATATATAAACCTTCTGTTTTGCATTGAGGATAAATACCATTAGAGAGAAAATGATAATGAACCCCTATTACCAGTTCTCCCGATTCAGCAACTATCTATATGTGGGCAATCTTGTTTCAACTGTTTTTCCACGCTTTCCTTCCCATTATTTTAAAGCAAATCTCAGATAATTTTGATATATACTTCATTTGTATCTCTCTGTAAGACAGAAAGACAGTTTCTTCTTTTAAACGTAACCATAGTCAGGGTTCACATTTCTCTGATCATTTCACAAATGCCTCAAGAATTGGCTAAACAGTTCTTCAAAACCGGATTTGGTCACATTCCACATGTTACATTTGGTTGGTATATTAATTACTTGTGTCTTTTATCTCTCTTTTAATACATTCTTATTTTAGAACCATTTTCAAACTCAATTTTTGGCAAATATATATTAGAGTTACTATCGTGTTATTTAAGTTAATTTTTGCAGATGATTTTATGTATGTAGGTGTACATATAAATGTGTGTGTGAATATTTACAACCGATATCTTTGCATCATCAGAAGATACGTGATGTCTGGATGTCTGGTTTTTCTTTCTTCTGGTGAGTGAGGTTGAAATTGGTCAACCTGGTCCACCATTGAAAAGTACCCTACTAACTGTTCACTTAGAAATTTTAGAAGTCATTGATGATTATAACCAATGTGCATTTATTTCACTAGGAGTTTGAAAATGTTAATTTTCTAATTTTGTCATTCATTTTATACTTATTATTTATTTTTAATTTATAATGAGGATCTTTGTCAACTGGAAACAGGATAAATGCCTATTCTTTTCTTTTATTTATAAATCTATAAATTTTATTGTAAATTTTTAGAAACCTAGACACTTTAAAAAATAGCCAATGAATTTTTTCTTTTAAAAAATATTGCCATGAATTTGAGTTTTTACATATTTAATGGATTGCAATCAACTATATTCACTTAGTCATTATCAAGTTAGAACCTGTGACCTTTTAGCACAATTCCATTAGTCTCTATTCTACTTTTTATGCTTTTTATAATGTAAAGAAGTCCAGGCTAATTTTTGCTTTTCTTATTCCCCGTCAGAAGCCACACATTTGTCTTTGTTTTAAAAAGCCCTGGTTTTTTGTTTTTTTTTTAGTGAGGCCCTGGGGGTAGAGTGGTTATGCCTTGGGCTGTGATTCCCAAGATCTGCAGTTAGAAACCACCAGCTTCCCCCGGGAGAAGGTAGGGGCTTTCTTCTTTTGTAAACAGTTACAATCTCAGAAAATCCTAGGGGCTACTCTGTCCTATAGGGTGCTATGACTCAGCATGGACTCAATGGCTGTTAATGAGGAGGAGGAGGATGAGCTCTTTTTACTGTGAATAGATGTTCAGAGATTTTAATTTGCCTATCTGATTGCCATGGTTTCTTGGCCTTCCAATGGACAGAGCAAGAGTGGATTTAAAAAAAATTTTTTTAAGGATAGTGAAAAATCGTCCATATGTTCATCACGACATTTAAAATTTATATTTGTGATTACAGGTGGATTTTTGTTTGTTTGCTTTTTAACCTAACTTCTTTGATTTTATATTTGTATATCTTTTCTTCTCCTTAGTTAAATTCTCAATATTTGACTCCAATCTCCTTGCTATGCTTACTTGATAGGCTCCCAGGATGTCACGATCTTCTCTTACCCCACTGGCACATCCGTCTGAGTCTCCTTTCTGGTTCTTCTCATTTCCCCAAACTTGTCGGGTTAGAGGGCCTTAGACTTCTTGTCTTTTTGGTCCTGCCATTCAGTGTCAAAGCTTTTAAAACAATTTTTAAAACTTGTACATTAGGTAGGGGTTTACATTTTAGTTTCAGAACTTTTTTGGTACTACGTACTTTATGATCACTAAGTTTTATAGAGATAACTAACAGATTCTGTAGTTGTGCCTAAGGGCGAATCAGAAGGGCTGTGCGTTCGGTGCCACACTCAGCTCTGGGTCATTTTCTTTCTTCTTGTAGTCATTGCTGTTCCCTCCCCATTCCCTTTCCCCCCTTTCTCAGCCCCTTCCTTGCCCACGTCATTATTCATCCCATTGCGCTCTTCACAAATCCATCATCCTGGCTTCCCTGTATAGGAAAACAAAGACCCCACCCCACCCACCAAAAGAAGCAAAAAGGACCTGGCAGCCATGGCTGTATAAAACAGCAAAACCTCCATCAAAAAAAAGCATAAAGTAGTAAAACTCCAGAATAAATTCAAAATGGTTAGAAAGGAAGATCTAACCTTTTAAAATACCTTCCCTGTGATGATGCCTTTCATATATTTATATTCAGCCTAGACTTCTCCCTTGAATGCTGTTTAATTCTATCTGAATAATCAGCTGCCTGTTTGAGTTTACTTGGATGTGTGATAAGCATTTTAAACATGGATGATGAAAATGGGCCAATTCCTCTAGTGTTCATTATCCTAATGGCCACGTCATCTTTCCAGCTGCTCTGGCTACAAACCTCAGGGTCATGTCACCTTAACTTTTTCTGTCATACCACATCACTCACATGTGTCTGTCGACTGTCCTCTCAAAATATGCCTAGAAGCTTACAATATTTTGTACTCCTCATATTTCAAACTCTTATTACTTCTTTGCCATGATTATGACAGTGCTCAACTAAATTGCCTTCCCATCCCATCTCTCCATAGTCTGTTGCAAAGATAGCATCCAGAGTTGTTGTTATTATTTAAAAAACCAGATTCTATCTGCCTCTGTTAAAAATCCAATTCATTCCATGTCTTTTAGAGTGACCAGAATCAATAGCCTGACCATAGTCCAAGATTTCTCTGGAGCAGACTGGCTTATTTCTGTTACTATCTGATTTTTGATCTGTCTGAAGTTTCCAGTTGTAATAAAAAACTTGGAGGACAGCACTGGAAACACTGCAGAAAGTGTGGTCAGTCAGCCCCATGCACAGCAGGGTGAAGCAGGAAGGGAGTGCAACAGGCCAGCAAGGGGAGCAAAGTAACCAAGCCCCCGAGGAATCCTGAAAATAGACTTCTGACTCTGGAGACAGGGCTTGGCACTTCTTCAGACCCGACTGGAAAACACCCATAAGGGCCAGCAGACAGACCTGGAACTATTTATCAGGTTTTTTTTCTTTTTTCTTTCACTCTAAGTCTATCTATATAAGATAGGCAGGATAAACAATCCTGAGGAGAAAACAACTGGACAAGCAGTCCCAGGGGGACATGGGAGATGATGGGGCCAGGAAGGGAGTGGGGAGCTAACAAACTCAGGGACGAAGGAACAACAGAGATCTAAAATTGATGGTGAGGAGGGTATGGAATGCCTGGTGGGGTTTGATCGAGTGCAATGTATCCAAGAGGAATTGCTGAGAGCTGAATGGAGGGTGAGCATGATAGCGAGACAGGAGGAAGGTGAAAAGGAAATAGAGGAAAGAACTAGGAGGCAAAAACTACTTTAGGCCATGTGTATATGTAAATATATTAAATTATAATGACCTATAGGGTTATAGGTCAATGTACGTATATTTGTATGTTAAGTATACAGATAGCAGATGGATTTTGGGCTTCTACTCAAGGCCTCCCTAAACACAAGAACACTTTGCTCTAATAACCTGGCACTCACCTTCCCGACATGGCCACTGGAGACAAAATGGGTGCATAAGCAAATGTGGTGAAGAAAGTAGATGGCTCCTGGCTATCAAAAGATATAGCATCTGGGGTCTTAAAGGTTTACAGTTAAACAAGTGGCCTCTAGCAGGGAAGCAACAAACCCACATGGAAGAAGCACTCCAGCCTGTGTGATCATGAGGTGTTCATGGAATCAGGTATTAAAAGAACCAAAATAAACAATTATATTGATGCGAATGAGGGGAGTCAGAGTAGAGACCCAATGCCGATTTGTAAACAATTGAACCGCCCCCCCCACACACACAGAAGGGGTCACAAGGAAGGGACACTTTAACCAGGGTGCAGTATGAAACTGATGAAACAAACAATATTCCTCTAGTTCTTTAATGCTTCCTCTGCCCACTATTATGACCCATTTAGTTCTACCTTACGAATCTGGCTAGACTAGAGTATGCCCATCGGTATAGACAAGAGCTCTCAACACATGGAATCCAGGACAGATAAACTCCTCGGAAACAATAGTGGAGTAGCAATGCCATGAGAGTGGGGTGGGTGGGGAAGGGAGAGGAAGAGGGAACTGATCACGAGGTTGGATATATATCCCCCCTTCCTGATGGGGATGAATTACAGAAATGTGGATGAAAGGAGACAGCAGACAGTGTAAGATATGAAATAACAACAATATATAATTGATCAAGGCTTCACGAGTGTGGGAGAGGGAGGGGGAAATAGAGGACTTGATCCCAAGAGCTCAAGTAGAAAGAAATGTTTTGGAAATGTTGATGGCAACATATGTACAAGTGTGCTTAGGACAACTGAATGATGGATTGTTATAAGATTTGTAAGAATTCCCCAGTAAAAATGATTATTTAAAAAAAGTTGGGATGGATTTGATAGGCAAAATGCGATGTGTTTCCAGTTTTCTCTGCTGTCTCTCCCCTTACGTTTGAGATGTGTGTGCAAAGCATTTTTACTTTAATACGAAGGTGACCATCAGTCTGTTCAGTCTTTCTTCAGTCTTTCCCAGAGATGAAGAGACCACGTTTCTCTCCAAGGGCGTTATACTGAGTGCCTGCAGATAATATAATTACCCTTAGACACAGATGAATTGGGGTCCTAATTCCTTATGTTCTTGGGCGTTGGGGAGAGGGCCTGTGGGCAGAAGTGTTGGCTAGTGCTGCCCTTGCTGACCTCCTGGACTTAGTCGCCAGTAGTTTTGTGGCCTGTGGCACATCTGTGCTACTCCCTAAGCTGGTAGGCCACCAGGTGGCAGGCAAGTGAGTGGGAGTTCTGAGAATTGTAGGTGAGACCAGTTTATACAGTGGCTGAAGCAGTCCTGCATCGAGACAGCAGCCTTGCTGTGGTGGTTTGCTCCTTGATTGCGTAGTCTGGGCCAACAATTATATATTCACTTTAATATTATATCATGTCTTTTTATATCCAAGGAGTCTTTTTGGCTGAAATTACTCTAAAAAAGGAAGTACATATTTAGCAAAGAATTAAATCCTGAATTCCCCCGTTTTCATGAGCTTCTACAATTAGTTTAGTATAGATACACTGACACATGTGTGTCCCTCTGTCTCTCCATATAGCCATCTATCAAGCGGTCTTATTTCAAAGTAAACTGTAGCTATTGATGCATCTTCCCTTACAGGTATATGTAACTAGATATGTAATCATTTACTAGAGTTCAATATTTGTCTCTCTATCTTTATATAAAATTAATCTATAATGAAACATACAAATCTTAAACATACATTTTCAGAATTTTGACATGTGTAACAGATGAAGAGACATACAGGGAGAGGTCTGAGAAAGTTCCCACCACAGACTTTCATGTTGTAGAAAGGGACACACTCCCTTCCGGTATATGTCAGGTGATCACCAACTAGGAAGCCCATGGAACTTCCATATCCAGATCCTTTATTGGGACCTCATTATATAGTCATGATTGATTGGATCATGTATGCCTTATCTATGTTTGGCTGATACCAAGCAGTAGGTCTTTCTGGCATGGCTAGCTCCCATCTGAGTAACCTCATTACACACGTTGGCAGGTCCATAGCCCTTATAGATAGCAAAAACATTTCAATCCCTGGAAAAAAATTCTCTCTCAGGAATCAAGGACAACAACCACATTAATTGGGTAAAGTTAAATTCTTTACCTCACAAACTGCCCTAGACATTGACCAATATAGTAATGACATTGTCATTCAATAGGTATAGATTTTAAAAAATATTATACCACTTTAGTTTTTTTTTTTTTAACCACTTTAGTTATTTTAGTGTACCTTTTTATTCTAAAAACTTGCTTATTCTGAACACACGTCGTATGGTTACTCTAACAGATAAGACCATATTAGGCACTCAATAAACATTTGTTGAATGACTGAATTTGAGGCCTGCTATTTCCAGAGTGGTCTTTCAACTGCTTGGTGGTGATGACTGGTGTTTTATGAAATACTGTGACCCATGCTCACTTCCCCTATGCCCTGTGTGTCAGAATGAGTACATACAGAGAGTGAATTAGACCTGTGAAAAAAAAAGGTCGTTAAAGAATATATTTTAAATACGTACAGATCTTGGAATACTTTGGAATACTTGGAATGCTCCAGAGCATTCTTAGGATCATAAAATTTAGAAATGGAATAAACCTTATAAAGTACCTGCTCCACCTGTTTGTGTTAAGGAAGAGAACATGTGGCCATGGGTTATTAGAAAATGAATAAATTGACAATTGAGAATAGTGCTACTACAATGAATATTAGTTATAGGAAAAGCCATTTATTGATTTTTCAGTCTTAAGAAGTAAGGATTTACTTACTTCCAAAGTGATGGTACCAAGTATAAAAAGAACCTGAAATGATGTCTACATTATTTTAAAAAATGCAAGTTTATTCTACTTATCTCTCCTTTTATTTTAGTATTCTGAAGAAGCCAACAATCTTATTGAAGAATGTGAACAAGCTGAAAGGCTTGGAGCTGTGGATGAATCTCTGAGGTTTGATTTTGCAGCAGTATTTTATGTTTCTTTCACATCAAAGTCAACTTAAAAAAATAACACTAGTCAATGTGTTTGTTTGAAGTGAAGAAACACAGAAGGCTGTTCTTCAGTGGACCAAGCATGATGATTCCTCAGACAACTTCTGTGAAGCTGATGGTATAACATTTTTATAGTATGCTTAAGATTATAGTTAAGAAGGAAATAAATAATTCATTAGTGAGAAATTGAAAGCTTTCCTCTGTACAGTCAAACAAGAGGAAAATATTTTGGAAAAAAATTTTATACAGCTCAGTTTTAGAAATACTAGAAAATATTGTATAATTTAGCTCTTTTTAGGGTGGGGGGGGATGTACCTTACCAGTTTTCCATTTTGTGTAGCTGATATAACTTTTATGAGATACAGTGGTATTTTGTGTGACTAGCTAAAATATAGGAAATGCAAAATCTTGGTTTTGTTATATTGATATTAGATTGTTATATATCTTTTTCTTAATGATAGGCCTTGTTGCCTTTGTAAAAGCAAATACTGGACCATGAGATATGTTTGTGATATTTAAAGCTAGGCTAGAGCTCTAATGCACTTAGAATCTATAACCCAATAGACTTCTTTGATCAATACTTATAGGTCCTCCCATTCTTCCTTTCTAAAGTTATCAGCCTACTAATTGGTCAAACAATCAAAGCAAATTAAGAACATTTAAAAATTCTTAATAATTTTATTGGCATAAAATTCACGTCACACAATTTAATAGGTGATCCATATTAAGAAGACTTGTGCAGTCATTACCACAATCGATTTCAGAATATTTTTCCTTTCTCATATTCCTTGTTTTCAGCTCCCCACTTTCCCCAAGCTCCCCTGCAGTGCCCCTCGGTAATTGTTAATCCAGTTTCTGGCTCTATAGCTTTATCTATCGTGGATTTCATTAAAGAAAATCAGAAAAAAACAAGCAGCAGCAGCAACAACAACAACAACAACAACAAAACCCCTGATAGCAATGGCCAAACAAAACAGAAAACCTCAATCAAAAAAATAAAATATTAAAAACTGAAACAACCCTAAAATCCCCCCCAACAGAATGAATGAAAAGGGAGAGTTCTTAGTTTTCATTTTGTGGCTTCTGGTTAGGACAACAAAATGCTTTCCTTAACAGAACATGCCACCATATTTCGGCAAAAATATATCTATAATCCCTGTCCAAGTTATCTAGTGCTATACTAGAAATACCACAAGTGGATGACTCCAACAACAGAAATGTATGCCCTCGGGTTAGTCTGAATGCAAGGAGAAGGCTTCCTGGCTCAGTTGACTCCCAGTTTAGGGGAAGGTCTTTGTGTCCTTTTAGCATCTGTGGGCCCAGCATACCGTGGAGATCTCCACGTGTCTTTGCATCAGGATAACTTTGGGTCTAGCAAGGTCCCAGCATAAGGACCCTAGGGTCAAAGGATGTCTTCTGGTCCTGACTCCTCGTTATTGAGAAGGCCTGGTGACGTCCTGGTTACACATTAGACTGCTAGCCCCAAGGTCAGAAGGTTGAAGCTACCAGGTTTTTACTCTCCCAAAGAGTTACAGTCTGAGAAACCCACAGGGGGAGCTCCACCCTGTCCGTAGGGTTTCTGTGAATCACAACGGACTGATGGCAGTGAGCGCGGCATTCTTTTTTCTTTTTTTTAAATTTTATTTTATTTTATTTAACATTTTATTAGGGGCTCATACAACTGTTATCCCAATCCATACACACATCAATTGTGTAAAGCGCATTTGTACATCATTTCT